CTAACTTGCCATCTTTAAGAGGGGTGGCCTTAAATGCCCAGAATCCCCCAGCCAGTAGGTATGGACTTCAACTCCCAGAATTCCCCAGCCAGCATGCTAGACTAGACAGCTCCAAGCTCTTTTCCAACCCTTCCATCCTATGATTCTTCCAAAGTTATATTTTTGTCCAGGTTCTCTGTTTCATAGGCTTAAAAAAAACAAGATCGCCCGTGGCAATCTTGTGATCCCCAGACGGTCCAGCAGTAACATTAGCAGTAACATACCGAGTAATGCTTTCTTTGGAAATTGAGTCAAACAGTCAGTAACTAAAATAAAACACAGAAATAAGTCACAAGCTATTAAATGAAGTGGGAAGAACTCCATAACACTCCATAAAGTGTCCTCAGGTTAAAAGTATCAATACATCAAGACACCATTTTCATTCAATCTGCCAACAACGGACATGCAGTTAACTCTCAGCTGTTCAAAAGCTGGGCAGAAAAGAAAATGGAATTAGAGGTTTGCTTCTACAGGTTTAAACCGAGTTCACTGTTCGGGCATCAGGTCAGAAATACCAAGGGATCTGTTTTCTGTGGTCATAAAAATCCATCCAGGCTCCTAGATGCCAATGCGTTCTGTTCTACTTGCTTCCAAAGGAAAATTAAGTTTTTCCCAGCTGCCCAAAGTGACGATCTCTTTTTCGATTGCAAACATCAATCAGCTTTTCCATTTTGTTTTTTATTGCATGCTGCCCAGAAACACGTTCGTGAGATGGGCGGCTCTATAAATGGGATGAACGAATGAATGAAAAGATAAACACACTCTCCATGGTCATTGATCTTTTGAGTGAATGAAAGGGTTAACCTGAAATCTGCATACACTGCATAAATTACTCACATATTTATCTGTCATTGGGTTCATTCTGCTCTCACAGCCAAATGAGAATTGATTTTTGAGAAATCAATTCCTCTTCATTTTTCCTATTCAGTTGCCTTATCTCTATCTGCTCTTACTGGTGTACTGTCTACCCCAGTAAACAAAGGAAGTGATTTTGTAAAACAAGTAGAAGAGGTTGACTTAATCCCAGGAGAATTGGAAACCAAACATTGTAAAGTTATCAAGATTTTGTCAGAGTAGTTCTCTACTACCTCTCTCATATTATGGAGACCCATCTGTAGATTTATTTGGGGGATAGCAAGGAGAGAAGAAGAGAGACAGAGAAAGTTGAGGAACCTACACTTCCCCAACGAGATGTCTTTAGAGAAGACTTCTTGAGAAGGCACTTCTCAAAAAAAGCTGTAGTTCAGGAAGTAAAGGCACTAGAAATAGACTTAAAGGTCACCACTGAGGTTGATCTCTTTCAAAACAACTGGTCATCACAAAGCGTTCCACCACAAATTAGAGCCAGAAATATCTCTACTGATGCATCAGCAGAAGGTTGCATAAATACAACAGCCATGAAGGACCTTGTTCTAAATATCATAGCAAGACTCAACAGAATGGTTTCACCACGGGGTGGTGCAATAGACAGACTCTAGCCAGCTCCCACATCCATTAATCATAAGGTCCCTTGCTACCCAGAGTTTAACTTTGTTCCTTGCTCCTCCTGTTTGGTTCTTCGCTTCTGCTTTTTTGACCCTGTGAAAGAAGGTCATATTCAGGCAGCTTCTGTAGACATTCAAAGCCCCCCCTACTCCAGCCCTCAACAGGAACCATCTTCATTAGGGACCTGGTGGTCATAACATGGGTTTAGAGAAGACAAGAAACCACACCAGATCTCCTCATTCCAGAGCAGTCAAAGTTTCTCAGCTTTCATTGGAAGGAAGGAGGGACACCCTAGAAAGAGGATGTAAAAGAATATTCTTTCGTCAGATAAAATTTCCGCCACCAGGACTCTGAAAGGGGTTGACACTTCAGAGAGGCGCACGGTAGCTGTAGGGAACTCTCCCAACTCCAGTTAAATTTTTAAAAAGTTGGTTAAAGCCAGCAAGGAAGGTTCCTCACTAAACTCCAAAGACCGGTTAAAAAACTGCACAGCTTATTCTTAAGGAATTCCTCGCCTCGAATACACAAAGCCATCCAAAAGGAGACAGCTGTTGTGCTTCATTGCCAGACAGTCAAGATGGGGACCACTTCCGTTTGATGCTAAGGATTTTTTTCCCCTTCTCCTCCATTCAGTTCAACTCATAGAAACCAGCTGTTTGGGCAACCGTCCGAAAGAGTTTCCAACTTCTTGGCTTAAAAATAAAGCATTGCATCTCGCCCAGCGGAGATTTGGGAAGTCTACACCCTGACCTTCAAACAATTCAGCCACACAGCTTAGAGGTCTCCCACCGGCCCTCCCTTTGAACGACCGTCACACCCTTGATACATCTGGGGATTGCAATAAACAGCAACAGAAGAATAAAGGAAGGGAAATGTTTTAGAAAGATTTCCCAGGATAAGAAGGCATCCTGAAATTTCTCGGACCAGACCGGTATTTTTTCGGAGAAGAAAAGCTACAACTCCACCCACAATAAAACTCATGTTTTTCCTGCTCTTCCCGATTTATATGAGAAACCCCCACCTTCAATAACAGAATTGGATGAACTTTGCTCCAGAGTTACATGTGGCCACTGAATCCTCTTTTAGAGAAACTTAATACCCCCTCCAATCAAGAAAATGGATACTACAGTTTCTGAAATGAGAAACACACCAACATTAGACATCACAGCTGAAAAACAAAGACCCCCAACTCTATTCCAAAAATCCCCGCCCCACTCACATTTACTGTATAATATGATCCCTCTTGTGGGTTTCAGGGCCCCTCTCAAACATGGTCTTTTGCCTCTCAAACCAGGGTCCTCCACTATATATAAAAAATAATGATAGAATTGGAAAGTTGGAAAGGACCTCAAGGATCATCTAGGTGAACCTTTTGCTATGTGCAGGACAACTAATGAAACCACTTCAAGAAGTAGCCATCCAGCCTTTTCTTGAAAACCTCCAGAGATGAGAAGCCACCACCTCCATAGGTGGGCTCTTGCTGTCAGAAATGTTCTCCTTATCTTTAAATGAAGTTGAGGTCGCCACAACTTATATCCAGTATTTCTGGCCATACAGCAAGGGAAAGAGTTCTAGACCATCTACCATCACCACTGATGGAAAGGATTCCTGGTCCGTGACACATGTGCATCTGAAATGCTTGCCCAGATGTGTTCTTCTGTGTTCAGGATGGAAAGTTACAGCCCATAGCACCCCCAGATGCCAACAACGATGTGGACTGAGTGAGAACTAGTGGGTGCGCAAAGTACAAGCAGCTGTTATGGGGCCAAGAACTAACAATGAGGCTACAGTCTTTGAGAGTTACCAGCACAAACATTATGGCATTCAGCAATGTGGGTTGAATCAACTGTCCTGAAAAGGGGCTTTCTAGAAAGTTTGGCTCATAAGTCAGCAGGGAAAGGACCCTCCCAATCCTTGGAACCACAATTGGGGGATGTGATATAAAAATATCCTTGAGATGGAGAAGCTGTCCATGGAATCCAACAGATCATGAACAAGCTATTCTCTTGAGAGGAGATCAGCCATTCCCATCTTGTGTGGTTAGGAAAGACTCTGTGGCATGAGAAGCATATTGAGATTGAGACTGAGTTCATACTTCACAGGGAACCACAATTTGCTTTAACCTTAACTTGTTGAACAAGCCACAACTAGACAGATTCACAGATTACATTAAAATTATCAACCATGGCTTGCAAGCTATCATAGGGTTGTGCAGTGCTCCAGATTTGAAGGCAAACATTTGCATTGGAGCATAATCCCAAGGAAAGACTTGGCTGCTTTAAAGAGTTGCTGACAAAGGCTATACTTATGCCACGTGCAGCCCGAAGCATCTTTTTGCCTTCAAATGTGAAGCACTGAGCAGCCTTCTTGTGTTACTAGCTAAAGTAACACCAAAACACCTGTGTGTATACATCTGACAAAGCCCAAAGTGATCAACACTGCAGACTGGTGCAAAGGTGTAAACTGAGCAGAAGACCAGCCAAGACGTTTCAAGAGAGGGCCCACCTGCACTTTAGCAAGCAAACTTTCCACCAGAATGGTGCAACCGGCGAGAAGACCTCGTCTCACGTTGCAACAGCAACAACCCAGAAAAGGGTGTTCCTTCACACCGTAAAGTGTTTCTGGCGGTAACCCCCAAAAAGTGACACAAAGTCATAAACACGATACGCATTTGCTCAGGTCGTGTCTCGCTTCAATCAATGAGACAATGTCGCTTTGGTGTTTTCCTAGCGCGAAACGGTTATTTATTTGTCGATTCCTCCAACTCACAGACATCTGTTCCAACTTTCATCAGCTGGCCCCTCATCTATTCTATTTTTGAGCTTTTGCAAACCCAGCTGCCACACTTCTGCAATGAAATCCATCTGACCCTTTTTGGGGGCTGCTTTTCACAGCCACCTCCTCT